TCAAAACTTTCGTCCTCGCGATGTACTACTACCACTACTACTACTACTACTACTACTACTACTACTACTACTCCTGCTGCTGCTGCTGCTGCTGCTGCTGCTGCTACGTCTCTGCTCGCTAGAATTTGGGAATGCACTGGTACTGCCGTCTACGTCACTAGTGCTGTTCGCCGTTCTTGTCCTCTGCGCGAAAACTTGTCGCACTGTTGCACCCGACAACATCAGCTCATTTGTGCGTTAATTGTCCTCAGTCGCCCCGTTCTCATCAGCACCCCTCGCGACCATCATGTTCACCGTGCTTACTAACACGATTCTAAATTCTCAACACAATCCTCATCAGAACGTTCATTCTCGGCGTAGCATCGTAACAAAAAGCGATGATCACCATCGTCAATCGAGGATGCCATCATCTCCAGCGACATCGTCATCACCATTATGTTCATCATCGCCACCACCGGAGCATGATTCTGGTCGTCTCCGTCGTCACAACTGTCATCAACAAGCGTTACAACTGCTGTTTTCATCGTCTGCACTACAGCTGCATCCACCATCGACGAAATTACCATCGTCATCACCATCATCATCATCGTCATTTTTCTCACAACCAACATCATAAGTATCATCGTCATGGCCCTCAACATCATCATCCTCGCAACCACCATCATCCTCACCATCGTCGTCAGTATCATCATCATCATCATGATGAACGTCGTCCTTTGCAGCCTGAAGAACAAGCTCAGTATATGACTCGGGCTACTACTGGCAGCAGTGTGGCTTGATGACTTCTGAGCCTCAGACACTACAAACACAGAGGATCTTAGAAAGAAGCGAAAATATATATACGTGTATATATATATATATCTGTGAATCTGAGCATCCCCTAGGCCACGCTTGGATTCCAAGATGTTCTTCGCTTGCAGAATGTCGCCGAAACCAGTCGCGACCGTTTGCAGAACCTGGGTTCATATCAAGGAGCTTAATTTATGATACCTACTGCAGATCCCCGCGATGATAACCTACACTCAGTTCCTTAACAAGAACCCAGGAACGCCCCGCTCCCACACAGCAGCCGGTGTATGAAACTGGCCGTCATTTGCGAGCATGGAGACACCATGCTTCACCTGGGCGGATCCGAACACCTCTAAAGCTTCAAAGCTTCGAAAATGAACAATTCGAAAAGATCGGATCTTTGAGGCACGGTTGTTTGTTGTTGATTTTGGGTTTTGGCGTTCCGGAATGACGAACAGACTGACTCGAGAGCTGTGCAAGAGCTGCGGCTGGTTTGGAGAAGGAGAATGCTAGGCCAGGCACGAGCACACCCACACCTCCGAAAGCAATCAAAACCGCTAGTATCGTTTGCGAGTACTTAAACTCAACTTTGAAAATTTGGGCCAGGCGCAATGTTGGCGAGCGCATGCGGCTGAAGTGGAATCGGGGAGACTGTCGTGCTTCGCATCTGCTGGATGTTTAAGTACAACTCCTCGCGGGGATTTCAGGGCTGAGGTCGAACACTGCTGAACAAAAGCGGTTTAGGGCTTAGGGTTTAGGGGTTTAGGATTTAAGGGTTTAGGAGTTTAGAGGTTCAGGGTATTGGACCTAGGGTTGTGGGTGTTGGGTTTAAGGGAGCTCGTAACGAACCATACCTTGAAGAAGAGATGGTCGAAGTAACTAGCCTACTTCCCACTTCCCACTAGGAAACAAATTTCGAGAAAGCCCCCGGCTCCACGGCAAGGAGTAAACATGTGAAGATGGCGAGGGAGGTGAGGACGAGATTGATGTACAAGAAGCTTGAAAACCTCCTGACGTATGGTTGCGTTGCTGGAATCAATGCAAAAAGTGCATCCGCAACACCCATCAGGATGAAAATGGCAATGCCCAGCTGTGTAAAGCGCAGTCGATGGGTCAAGTGTCTTGGAATGCTTGCAGGCAACTTGCCCCGGAGTTTACGCACACCGTGAGCCAGAACAGCGAAACCTGCCGCAGGAATGATCCCGAAGATGGTGAAGCACTGCACAACGAAGAATGTGCCTGCAATAAAATTTCGGGTCGAACCAATCGGCAAGTAGTACATCAGAGTCCAAAACGGAATCAGGAACAAGACCTGGCTCGCAACTGACATGGCTCCCACCCACGTGGAAACTTTATATCCGATTCTTTGGTGCAGAGGTGCCAACGCATAGATCAGAAGCACAGCTTCCATGCAGATGTCCCAGTAAACAAGCATCATAAGTCCAACGTGTGCCACAACGTCGCCGATGGCAAAGAGCACGTATAGAGGGAGATTGGAGGAAGCCATGTATGTTGGATCCAGGCTCTCCAACCAAACCTGGGGCAGGCACAACTGCATTCCGAAGACGAGGCATCCAAAACTCAATATTCGACAAAATGGTCTGCGGGAGTAGTACAAGCTGATGCCATAGAGCGCAAAAATGACCGCACCGATCACCACAAACACGCAGAAGCTCTTTGAGAGGATCTGGGTTGCTAGCACAGGTATTGGAATGCACACGAGAGTCCAGTCATCACGCAAGGTGCAATCCACGGCAACCATACATACTCTGGGCTGTTACGACATGGCTCCAGCCAGCCTGCCCAACAAATCCTACAGCCGAAGTGATGCCTTGTTGCTACCCTAAACCCTAAACCCTAAACCCTTGTTGCTATGGTGCTTGTCACCCTGGATTTTCTTCTCAACTCTTAAGCAGCCTTGCAACCCTTGTCACATCTTAGAGTTTAGGGTTTAGGGTCTAGGGCCTAGGGTTTAGGGATTCAACTTGTATCAAGGTGTGCTCATGTATCGTCTGTCACCATGATGGGACCGGGGCGAGCCGTCAAGAACTGCAGATTACCGGCAAGGCACTTGGCAGCAACGCTGAGTCTTGTGACCTGTGCACCACAAGGAAGTCCCGATCGAATTGATACACATACTCCGAATTTAGTGAGAAGCCTACACGCTTGTCTCGCCTTGTAGGGTTGTTTTCCACATGAACTATGCGAGTCTCTTTGTATGCTTGATTCAAACATGTTACCACAAGAGATATGCATCTATCTTTGCCATAGAGATGTCTCCGGTCTGGCTATCCTGAACTCTAAGCTATCCTGTAGCACCCAAACGAAACCGTTGCCGCTGGGGGTCCGCTCTCTGCTACAGTTTTTCTGGAGTATGAGCAACCTTGAACATCAATGCATGTCTATGAAGACTCTTCTTTTTTGCACCTTCGTCGCACGTGTGTGAGGTCCCAGCGCACCTTCGAGTAAACATACAAGGCTTCTTTAGACGTTTGGTTGCTGTTCAATACCGGCCTTGAGACTGGCTTCATAGAAGGGCTTCGGAATAAGGGTTTATAGGGTTTAGGGGTTTAGGGTTTATAGGGTTTATAGGGGTTTAGGGTTTAAAGGGTTTATAGGGGTTTAGAAGCCATGCCAAGTTTAAGGCTTTAGATGGCTTTAGGGTTCAGGGTCAATCAACAACGTTTTCTGTGGAATCAGGAACTTTAAGTGTGGATCGCACGCGGTCCTGCAACAGGGATGCATCAACACACAAGCTGCCGGCTTCTGGCGCAGAACCAGCGCCGGGTTTGAGATGAGTAAAGTCTTAGACCCAGTTCTTGCAGGCCACTAAACTGAAGGGGATTCCCTCCATGGTTCTGGCAATGCTCTAGCTTTCCGTCTGGGCCGTCAGGAAGAAAGAACGGCTGAAGCGAAGACCCGGCGCTGTTTCAGGCCGCAAAGGATGACCGGAAGCAAAGCACTGACAAGGAACCCCGGAATGAGAACTCTTCAAAACTAGAAGAATCCCTAGCCTCGGCCAGCACCAGCACAACAACATCCTAGAGCACGCTCTTGCACAGTCCTTCGTTCGAGTCTGAAGATGCCATAGGGGATGCGGCTGAGGGAGAAGGGATAATTCGGAATAATGGTGCCACAACCAGTAGCTATTCAGGACTGCTGGAACGCATCCTGCTTTCTCGCAGACAGTTTAGGCTTGAGAAAAACGGCACAAACAAGAAGCTATGCGTTTGCAACAGCGCCATTCTTTGTGTCTAAAGAAACTGTTGAAGGATCTATCCCTGGTAGCTTGAAGGAAATCTGGCAAGTCTAATTTCTTCTTCATTAGACCTGTGTCACACACCGATCTTGGATGCAGAGCTGCGAGAGCATGTGGCACGAAGCACGCGGTGCCTGTGAGCTTTCGCAACCTGGGAGTTGCAGGTCCCATGTGAAGCGTCCGTCGCGTTCTGGCCACAAGCCTACAGCTTATGCGCAGGGAGACTCATTGCCTCATTGCACAGCCGAGCGGCTTCGTCTTCGGCAAATCCGGGGTCTCGCGCAGCTCAGTCTGGCACACAAACAATCCGAACAAAGCGCACCAGGCACATCGCTCCCTTTAAAGCTCCACTTAACGCCCGCCTGTCCGTGTGCCAAACCACAGGCCGCACACCACGCTTGCAGACAACAAGGGCCCAAAAAGAACAAAGCCTAAGCACTGCACAGCACTGCACCCTCCAAATACCCGCCCCCAACGTCATCCATACTGCTATTAATAATTACGTTCCTGTGTTTGAGCAGAGCTGCTGGGTCTTTTTGAACACTTGTTTCGTGCTCGTAGTCGTCGAGGCAGCAGGGCCGACAAAAAATTTGCTCATTCCCTCGGCTTTGTTGAAAACCACGCCAACAGCTGGCAGCTAGCTTATGCAGAAAAAGCACAACCAGCAAAAAGCTGAGTCGCTTGGAAAGGCAAGACAAACAGCCAAAGTTGTGAAACACCGTTAAAGAATCGTACCCGTAACTCTGTAAAGGGTAACCGTTCACTTTCGCCCGCCTTCGACGGTAACCGCCGAGCGCCCACGTCCCTGGCATTTGCGCCACTGCGCCGTGAAAGCTTGCAGCTGGCTGCTTTGCAAGAAACCACCCGAACAAACTGGCCAACTTGTCCCACTTTCGACACATTTCTCAAACTTGTTGCGTCTTGTCATCGAGCTATCAAAATCGTTGTTGTTTTGCATCTGTAGTTTCGCGCTGCTTTTGAACTGCTGCAACCCACTCTCCTATGAATGTTTGCGTCTGCCATGTATGACTGATGGTCACATGTTCCCACAACAAACCGAAAGCAGCGGGCCGCGTGTTGAACAATGGCACCCATCAGACAAGGCAGGGAACAGCCGAAGATGGCGAGTACCATTGCAAGCTCGAATGGGAACTGTTTTTTAACTGATGTTGTGCCGGAGGCTGCCTGATTCTTCTCTTAGGGAGGCCTCCCTCGGGGTTTGGGCCTCATACGTCGGCAAGATCAAGCCAACGCGCA